CGCTGTCTCTGTCACAACGGCTTCAAGGCGACGGCCGATCAGACCATGTGCATGGGTGAGGAACCAGCCACGTGTCACGCGATCAGCTGAACATGTGTTGTGGGTAGACATGGGGTCATGTAAGAATGTAACATTGACCAACATAATCCTGTAGTTATCGCAACTGTTTGCATCCTTAATTTGTTTTTTCTTTATTCAGGGAAATTACTTCCTCTGGCTCACTGAGAGCGGCTGCTTTTTGCCACTGTATGGACATGCTCTTCATGTTGTTAGTGGTCTGAGTTTATAGAAGGTCATGTTTCATGGAAGAAACTGCACGTGGTGTTTATGTAAGAGTAGTCCCCACTAAATCTGAAATAATCTGAAATAATTGGGAATAAGATCAAGGGATATTTTGTGCACCAGTGGTGTCCTTCCCTTTAAGCAAACAAGTGGCTTTATTCAGGAAGTCAGTTGGACAAGGCAGTATGGTGATCGTCTATGAGACCCCGCTCGTACACATAAAAGAGACTCATAGATAGAATGTCACCAGACTCATAGATAGGATGTCACCATCCTGTCTCTCCCCAGACATCGACGAGTGTGATCGTCAGCCCTGCGGAAATGGCACCTGTAAGAACACTGTGGGCTCCTACAACTGCCTCTGCTTCCCCGGATTCGAGCTCACCCACAACAATGACTGCATGGGTACGTGCACAGCTCTCTACTCCCAGTTCCTGGAATATGACGCAGTACATAACTTGGTAGGCATGCATGCAGCGCAGAGTCTTCATGAGCCGGGCTCCTCCACTGTGCCGTATGGAACAGTTTCCAGTCTATTGGGAGTCAGCGTGTTGTGTCTTTTGTTACAGATGTGGACGAATGCACGGCGCTGGTGGGCCAGGTGTGTCGGAACGGCCAGTGTGTTAACAGCCAGGGCTCTTTCCAGTGCTTGTGTCAGGAAGGCTACGAGCTCACGCTGGATGGCAAGAACTGTGTTGGTAAGTGGCCTACTGGCTTTAAGCGCCATGGCAAGAAAGCTGTGACCACTGCCTTTCATGTCCATGAGACCGCGGCTCGCAAAGGCCCTGCTAGTGCCAGTGTGTCCTAACCTGCTTCTGCTCTTCCCTCAGATGTCAATGAGTGTATAAGTTTACCTGGGACCTGCTCTCCCGGGACCTGCCAGAACCTGGATGGCTCTTTCCGCTGCATCTGTCCGTCTGGATATTCAGTGCAGAACGACCAGTGTATCGGTAATATAGTAATTTCCTCCTGCCTTTACCAATCATGGCCTCCTATTGTTCCCCATCTGTGAACTGGCTTCATCACTCTGCTCTCCTTCCCACTGAGAGCTGGAGTGGTCAGGAGTGTACTAGTGCACTATGGCTGCCATCACATCATCCAGGTGGGGCTGCACACTGCTGGTGGTAGAGGGGATTCCCCTTACCTGTAAAGCGCTTGGAGTCGAGAGTCCAGAAAAGTGCAGTTTCAGTGTAAGGAATGGTTATTATTAATTAAAAAATAAATTATAATTGCTTACATTTTTTTGTACTTTAAATCCCAGAGCCCCCTACGTATAGAATGGGTTTGGATTTTTCCACCACTGAAGTGCAGCATCCACCTGGGTGATGCATGGTAGACCTCATCTACAAAGCCTGTATCTCCTTAACGGTGAACACCAGAGCAGGCTCGCCAGCCCCCAGGGGTGCTCAAAGCCACTCCCCTTCTGGGATCAGTGCAACCAGGCAAAGCTGCTAACACTTACAGCACTGTCCCTTTGCTTGCCTCCCACAGACATCAACGAGTGTGAAGTGGAGCCCAACCTCTGCCTGTTCGGTGAATGCACCAACACCCCAGGCAGCTTCCAGTGCAACTGTCAGCCAGGCTTTGTGCTGTCCGACAATGGGAGGCGCTGCTTTGGTAAGACCACAGCCTTCCTGGGCTGTCGGGGTGATGCTCATTAACCCCCTTCCCACTAATCCAGAATTAAATGGTCTCTTCTTCCTCTAATGAGATTCAGTTTTTTGCTGTTGCTGTAAACATGATATTTAGAAATCTAATATGAAGTTATAATTTGTGAGAGCTGACACTACTCTAAATACTGGCTAAACAATATTCCGGTAAAATCTTTCTGCCTTATTTCTTTGTGCAAACTCAGTGATACGCATTATTTTGTTTTACTTGGACTGGTCTCTTCATTGGAAGTGGCCTGAATGTGTTTTCCTAGTGTACACTGCCAGCTTATTTGTGGACAGCCATGGTACAAGGCAGGGTGGCTGAATTACATAGTTATATTTCTATAAATAATATACTTTAAAGGTGTCAGTCTCTAGAAATGTATAATAAAGTCTAAGTAGCTGTGTATTGCAGTGCTGTTGTAAGTAGCACAATGCATTTTCCATATAATCAATATTAGTAAATGTAAAAAAAAAACATCTAGAATACTTGCAGCCATTATTGGATGTGTAAATGGAAATAAGACAAAGTATCTTCTATGTATTTCCAAGCTTTGGGTTCATTTGATTATAATTCTAGAGTTACATTAATAATGGTGCATACTGGTACATATTTATGGAAGAAATTATATATAAAACCGACACTAACGTAGTTGCAGGGGTGTATTTTGGCTTCTGTGATTAATAGTAGTCTTTCAGAGCAGAGCCTGTCGTCTCCACGCCTGGCTGGCGTGAACCACCGTTGGCACTTCCCTCACTATGCCCTCCTGACCTCTCTTGACCTCAGATACGCGGCAGAGTTTCTGCTATACCAGCTTTGAGGGCATGAAGTGCTCCGTGCCCAAAGCCTACAACACGACTAAAACCAAATGCTGCTGCAGCATGATGCCAGGGGAGGGCTGGGGCGATCCCTGTGAGCTGTGCCCACGTGAGGGAGAAGGTGAGTGCCAACCGAGCATGACCGCATCATCACGCCATTAGTTCTCAACTTTCTGAGCCTGAGACAGCAAGAAAACTCCTGAGCCTGTTGGCTGTTCCAGCTGCCTTAGAGCCCGTGGTGGTTCCCCTTAAACTAAGTTGCAGTATTCTCAATAGTTTTGCCATTGATCCATCCTGTGTCTTTAACTGGCGTACCTGAAAGGATGCTACAATAAAATAGAAACCACTGTCCTAGCCATCTATCATGTACTGTAAATACATCGCAGAGGCTCATGTACAGGCGTCCAGCCTCGTAAGGACTTTGAATGAGGACCTTCTTGCGTTTGTAAAAGAATCATGACTCTGCTTTCCTGTTTCCCAGCTGCCTTCCTTGACCTTTGTCCCTACGGCCATGGAAGCATACCTGGCATTGGAGACACCCGTGAAGGTGAGCACAGAGAGACACCAGACAGCACGAGCCTGGCGGAGCTAGTGCCTTTTCAAACGGGGACTGTGGAGAGCCATCCCAGCCTGCGTTCTCCATCTCTGGTGCAGCCTGACTCCGAGTTTAGCAGATTAACGATTAACTGTTAACACGGTGGCATGTGGGCTCCTGCACGCTGATGTGTCCTTTTCACTGCTGTCCCTGCTGCGCCTCCCTCTTCCAGACATGAACGAGTGTCAGGAAAACCCTGGGATCTGTGTGAACGGGATATGCATCAACACGGATGGCTCCTTCCGCTGCGAGTGCCCCTTCGGATACAACTTGGACTATACCGGCGTCAACTGCGTAGGTAAGGAGGGCCGCTGACCGGGAGGAGTGGACGTGGACACAAGGCAGCTCCGACTCGGAGTTTGGGGAAAGGGAATTCTGTTTAAAAAAGGGAATTGGAGGCGGGATTGTTCCCAGGCGTTCACATACTGGTATCAGGCAAAGGGACTCTAAAGGTAAATAGCTATTTAAATATTATACTTTCTGTTTTCTGTATCTCTAATTCTGTTGCACACGTAATACTGTAGTAAAATACTGACTTTTTTAAAGTTAATTGTTTAGGGCAAGCTGACTCTGACACCTGATATTAGCTTTCACAGTCTGACCAGGAATTGGGAAGTTTTCCCATTTAAATTGTTATCTGTTGGTTATTAATGAGCTGTTTTCTGCACTATTTAAAAAAAAAATAAGACACCAAATTCGGTGACAGTGAGAGATGCTTTTCTCTATGACCTTTAAGAGGTTTTCATTAAGTTTTGCTGAACATATTTAACTTCCATGCAACAGTGCTTTGTGGTGTGTTATTAGTTATCGGTTTTAAAAGATTTTGACCAGCTAAGGACTTCTTAGGACAGTTAAATAACAGGTAAAGTAAGCAGTTCAGACTGAAAGGTCAGTGTTTTTATGTCAGACTTGCATAAAAATCTCAGAACTATGCAAGTCTGTATATAATTAATGTGGAAGCTGATACGATTGCGAAGTGCTGCAAGTAACCGAGTATTAATCTTGAGGACACCCACTGAGAGTTGGGCCCCTGCCTGCATTCTGATTCAGCTGTTCACGTTTTTCATTTTGCAGCAGAAAACGAGCTGCAGCCCCCTGGTTTTTTTTAGCGAGTCTCTGCGGCCTCAGAAACAGGGCTGCGGCGGTTTTTAATATCTCACCCCCTCCCCCTCCTCTCCCTTCTCTGTCCCAGACACGGACGAGTGCTCCATCGGGAACCCCTGCAGGAACGGGACCTGCACCAACGTGGTGGGCGGCTTCGAGTGCGCCTGTCAGGAGGGCTTCGAACCCGGGCCCATGATGACATGCGAAGGTCAGTCCATGACAGACGCACGGTTCGTCTGCACCTTTGCATTGATTGGCGCAACGGGTGACGTCTGATGCACCGATCTGCGCGGGCCCTTCAGTCCTGACCGCTGCCTGTCTCTCTGTCCTCAGATATCAACGAGTGCGCCCTCAACCCCCTGCTCTGCGCCTTCCGCTGCATCAACACCTTCGGCTCCTACGAGTGCACCTGCCCAGCAGGCTACACCCTGCGAGAGGACAACAGGATGTGCAAAGGTAGAGCGCCAAGGAGCTGGGAGCTGTGCAGCGGTAAAACCGCAGTGCCATACTTGTCATGGCAGGATGGCGAATGCTAAATATCTGCTTGCTGGGCATGTGCTTTGTATTGGTCATGCCCCTACTCTCCTCTTCTCACTGCATCCCTGTTCTCTCCTCACCCCACCCGACCCCAGACCAGGACGAGTGTGCCGAGGGGCTCCACGATTGCGAATCCCGAGGGATGACCTGCAAGAACCTCATCGGCACCTTCATGTGCATCTGCCCAGTGGGCATGCAGCGCCGGCCGGATGGGGAGGGCTGCATGGGTGAGTGCGGGCGCCGGGAGGGGGCGAGGGCGGCACTGCCGGGTCCCAGAGAGGGCGCCTGGCGGTGAGCAGGGTGGAGGAGAGAGATCCCGGAAGAATGAAGGCTCCTGCTCAGGGCATTGAGCAGATCACCAGAATTACGACAGGGACACGTTAATCAGTGTATGCATATAGCCATTATAATACAGAGATGCAGGGAAAGTCTTCCTGCTTGGAACTGTTATAATGAGATGAATATATTAGTATTATGGCTTATTTATATATTAGAATACAAAATTAATCATTGATTAATGAACATTGTATTATACATTTTGCAAGTTGTACTTCATAAGTGCATAATTAAAATACACTTGATGTATGATGTATAATGTTAAACTATACATCACCACATGCATTTGGGAGCTGTGTGCCCTTTTGTTAGTCATGTAATAAACTGATAATGCTGTAGGTCAGCTACAACCTTGTTAATGTCACTCCTGTAATACTAATACAATACATTTCTGGTTACAAAGAATTTTTCAATTCTGCTGGCAAATTCTTGTCTGAATAGCAAATAAATCCCCCATATCATTTGTCTCCACACAAAAACGAAAGTAGCTTTATCTTAGCTTTAAAAGGAGACAGGAGGAGACATGGAGAGATTATCCTACAGTCCCATATGTCCTTGATTCTTGCCAACGTCTGACCTCCGCAATCTGCCCTCTCCTCTCCACCCTCCCCGTTTGCATCCCTGGCAGACACCAACGAGTGCCGGACCAAGCCTGGCATCTGCAAGAACGGGCAGTGTGTCAACACTGTGGGGAGCTACCGCTGCAACTGCAATGAGGGCTTCCAGGCCAGCCCCACTGGCACAGAGTGCATCGGTGAGTCTGTGACACCAGCACTGGCTCTGGCACCGCACCCTGACACCAGCCTGGCACGCAGGACTGACCCGGAGCGTTTCCTCCCTTGTTTTAGAAAATGAGCTGTCTGAAAGCAAAGGAAACCAAGAACCGGTTTATTCTCTTTTTTACCCAACTGTTTAATGCTGGAGACAAAAGATTTTATTGTGTATTACACCTGACACTGTACGTATGAGGACAGTTGTATGAGGCTTTAGGCATCTGTGCAGTTTGCAGATGTTTTGAATAGAAGAATTTGAATTTGTTATTGTACTAGAGCATTGCAATCACCAATTGCTAAGATGAATGAGAGTTAAATAAATTAATGTTTATTTAGAGGGTGATCTTTCAACATCCTAAAGACTGAACAGGTTCACAGCTTCTATTACGGCAATACTGAGTTCTGCAACCCCGTATACACACGAAGAAGATTGACCGCGTGTCTGTGGCTCTGGTATCGTTGACACGCTGTCTTCTCTCCTTCTCCACAGACAACAGGCAGGGCTTCTGTTTCACCGAGGTGTTGCAGACCATGTGCCAGCAGTCGTCCACCAACCGCAACTCCGTCACCAAGTCCGAGTGCTGCTGCAACGGGGGCCGTGGCTGGGGCTCCCACTGTGAGCTCTGCCCACTCCCCGGCACAGTCCAGTACAAGAGGATGTGTCCCCTGGGGCCGGGCTACACCACTGATGGCAGAGGTAAGCACTGCACGTTCAGAACAGTCTTCCTCTTGCCTCAGCTTTTTTGTGAGGGCGTGTCCTGCCTGTTCAATCAGGACCGTGCCAGTGAAAGAGAAAAAGAAGCTGTCCCCGTCCGACCCCGGGTTCGAATGCGAGTTCAAATAGGTTCGAAGGCCAGCCTTGCTCTTCGAGGCGAGACCTGCATGTCAACCACACATCTGCCAGACGCTGTCCACCCCGCTCGTTCAAACCCACCTGCTCAGGGCATCCTCAAACACTTCAAAACCGCCCGCTGCACGGGCTGGGGCTGATGAGAGTTGAACAGATGAGGCGTGGAGGAATATTCGCTTGCGTTTTTGCAAGTGCACTTGAAACCCAACTCTGTCTTTGGTTGAGTCAGCCGCAGAAGAAAACGAGGAATGGGGGAGGGGGGTTGTTGTGCTCGGTGTCCCCCCCCCAAGACAGTGTGCATCTCTAAGAAACCCCCTTCCGGCTGTCGTTTCAGATGTGGATGAGTGCCGGGTGCTTCCTGACCTGTGCAAGCATGGCCAGTGCATCAACACCCGCGGTTCCTACCGCTGCCACTGCAACACGGGCTACACCACGGACCTGACCAGCACCACCTGCGTCGGTAAGGACCCCTGCCTCCCTGCTCCAGCTGGCAAGCACACTCAGGGCACTGTCGCTCTAGAAAGCCCGTCGGCAAGTACAGAACAACACAGGAACAGTTACAGAGCAGAGCAGGCCAGTTTGACCCATCTGGCTAATTTCATTACTGGACTTCATTCAGTACTGTTTCTTAAAGGATCCCACAGAATCTTCTTCAATAATGTGACTGGCCAGTTTGTTTCAGACCCCCACAACCCTTTGTGTAAAGAAATGCTTACTGTCTTCAGACCTGAATACACTCCCTCTTAGCTTACACTTGTGTCCTCAGATCCTTGGTTCAGTATTGGTCTTGCAGTAGTGTTCTGTGTGAACTTGCTCAGTAACTTTCAGGATTTGAAATACTTGAATCAGACCCCCCTGACAATCTCATCTGAAGCAGTAGAATTGTATTGCATGAGAAATGAGAAATGCTTAAGATTTTCCCAGCATTCTGTCTTAATCCTGACTTTGTTCCTAACTCCACCTTGTGTACCTTATGTTCCTACAGGAAGAAGATGATGTTTGTCATTAACGTGAAAATAAGTTTCATTTGTAGCTGCTGTAGTTCTATGCAGATATTAAGAAGATATGTTATGTCTCAAACCCCTCGGTGGCCCATATCCCAGTGTCTGAAACATCTAGCTTCACTGACATCAGACTAGTCTTTCTTTGCCCTCTTATATAGCTGCCACCCTGTTTAGTAGCTTGTCATGTCTGGTGCTCTAGCTCCCTGTTCAGTTCTGTTCCTCTGATGTGCAGATTTGGACGAGTGTTCGCAGTCCCCCAAGCCGTGTAACTTCCTGTGCAAGAACACCGAGGGCAGCTACGTGTGCTCCTGCCCCCGGGGGTACATCCTGCAGCCTGATGGCAAGACCTGCAAAGGTAGGCATCCCTGAGCTGCGAGGGTCAGTCTGGTAGGGGGTCCGGGACTAAGACCAGCGCTCGGGAAAGTAACTCTCTGAGGTGTGCTCAGTCTGACCAGCACAGGCCCTCACAGTAAATCAAGCTAAACCGTGTTTTTTTTTTTTACCATGGCAAAGTGATTTAATGTCACACTGGACCAGCACTGAGGAATTTCACTTTGTTCTCAACACCGATACTTTCATCAATCTGGCAAATGCAGAAAATCAACGCACATGAATGCAACCCCCCTCTCCTGTTCAATGCAGTGCCTCCACAGAAAAAAAGTTTGCAAAGAGAAAGCAGGTAGCAGTGTGGCGCAGTGGTCAGTTGTGGGTTCAAGTCCCAGTTGAGACACTATTGGAGTCCCCTTGAGAACTGATGCACTAAAATACCCTGCTGTTTGCACTAAAATGTTTGCAAATCTAAGTCGCTTTGGATAAAAGCGTCGCCAAAATAAATTAGTAAAAATGACATACTCCTCCCACACACCAAAAAAAAAACACATTAGGGCTCTAACTCCTAGGCTGGTCTGATGTTCTGTGCTCCAGTCTGGTTTGGTCAGATGTTGTGTTTTGTCCACCTCTTCCCTCTAGACCTTGACGAGTGCTCCACCAAGCAGCACAACTGCCAGTTCCTGTGCATCAACACCATCGGCAGCTTCACCTGCAAGTGCCCTCCTGGCTTCACCCAGCACCAGTCGGCCTGTATTGGTGAGTGAGACCTGTGGGAGAGGGGGCCTGGTTCTCCACGCTCAGCTGCAGACTGCAGTGCCCCCAGGGGGGTATTCAGACTTTGGATCAGCACAGATTGGAGAACAGCACGCTGTTCCAGAGCAGCCTTCAATAAAGATAGTCATGTCCCTGGCATGTGTCAATGGATAAGTTAGATCAATTTGTTCCTCATATTTTAGGATTTGACAGTGATACAATTGTTTGCCACCTAGTGACCCAGGTAACATAAATAGTTATTACTATTTAGCTCACTGTTCCATCCAAGGAGACTATATTCAAAACAATTGCTGAAAGGCAGAAAATGAACAGTGCAGGAACAGAGTGAAGGAAGTTTGCAAAGTAACTCGGCACAATACAGTAACTAAACTAATGCAAGACAAGGTACAAAGTATGGTCAAATACAGACGTTACAGCTCTACAGTGATGAAATGTAAGCTCTGAAGGGATAGTCTCAGTGGGTGTGTAACACCTGTGTGTTACTCATGTATTCTCACTTGCTCGAGCGAGGCGTTCTGAATGCTTGTTCTCTGAGACGTGTCCTGGCTCTGTCCTGCAGACAACAACGAGTGCACATCCCAGCCCAACCTGTGCGGCACCCGGGCGTCCTGCCAGAACACGCCTGGCAGCTTCAGCTGCGAGTGTCAGAAGGGCTTCTCCCTGGACGGCACGGGCCTGGACTGCGAAGGTGGGTGCCCTGCCCTGCATGTCACGGGTCGGCGTCTCATACTGGGGTTCTACTGCAACAGCACAGCGGGTCGCCGTGGGGCCAGAGGTCAAAGCAGCGCTCTTCACTGGCTCTGCGCTTTGAACACGATTCGGGCTTCTCAGCCTAAAACTAAAACTTGATAAAAGGAAAAGCATACGTCTATAGGAACTGTAATTCCGTGTTTGTCCGGGCAGTTTTCCAAGTGGTTTCGCTTGGTCCTGGCTCAAACGTGGTTTGAAAGCCAAAGCGAACGCTTTGAAAATAAAAAAAAAGAATATAGAATCAGAAAATAAAAAAGAATATAAGGTAATGAGAAACTCCAGCTATGAAAACAAAACTCATCTGTTGGAATGGGGTGCTTTCTTTTAATATGAATATGAAATCGATAAACATTTTAAGAAGACGAATAATAGGGAATGCCAGACACATGCAGCAATAAAATCACAGCATTGCCATTCCTTTTATGATATAAATTAATGAACGGGCTTTCCAAACGAAACCGTAATAGAATATCTTCACCGGACTGACGCCCCCTTCTCCCCCTCTCTGCCCAGATGTGGACGAGTGCAGCAGCAACCACCGCTGTCAGCACGGCTGCCAGAACATGCTGGGGGGCTACCGCTGCGGCTGCCCCCAGGGCTACGTGCAGCACTACCAGTGGAACCAGTGTGTGGGTGAGCACAGCTCCGGTCCTGATCCTGCTGTCTTAATTGAACCGATTTATTTGAGTGTGGAGGGCGAGTCAGGCCTCCTGTATCATGTAGATCTTAACCAACTGCTAAAGGACAGTTCCTGTAAAACATGTCCCTGGAGGGGCAGGTGTCTAGTTTCCTTTAAATTTGCATCATGTGTAGAGGCACCTCCAGGAGCAAGGGCCGGACCCCCCTTGTTTTAGAGGAGGGGTAAACTAGCTTTAGAGGTCCTTCACGGCCCCCAGACAGACGTCGGCGTGCGGCTGTCTGTGACCGTCCTCTCTGACGCGCCCCCTGCCCCCTCTTTGTCTCGCCCAGACGAGAACGAGTGTTCCAACTCCAACACCTGCGGGTCGGCCTCCTGCTACAACACCCTGGGCAGCTTCAAGTGCGTGTGCCCGTCGGGCTTCGACTTCGAGCAGAGCGCGGGCGGCTGCCAGGATGTGAACGAGTGCTCCATGGGCAGCAACCCCTGCAGCTTCGGCTGCTCCAACACGGATGGGGGATACCTGTGCGGCTGTCCTGGAGGGTACTTCCGAGCAGGGCAGGGGTGAGTGTGTGGGGCTGGGGGGATCTGAGGAATGGGCAAGACATTCCCAATTCCAGCGACGCCTTACTCGCTGGGGTATCTTAATTCCACATGGAAGAAACTTCAGTATGTCCAGAATTTGGTAGCCAGAATCCTGACCAGGTCACATGCAAGTGATCGCATTACCCCTGTCCTGGAGTCCTTGCACAGGTTTCCTATCAGGTTTTGTGTCACCTTTAAAAGCAAACTCCTATAAGGCTCTTCAGTACCTGTTCATTTGATTTTGTCCCCTAATCTCTTTTACATACTATGGGTGACGGGGCCTTCTCTTGTCATGCCACATAACTCTGGAATTCTATCCCTAAGGATATCGGAGAGTCACCTATCGCGAACGCATTCTAATCCAGACTCAAAACCTTCTTCAGACCGGCTTTTAATTGAATTGGCATCTGGGAAAGCGGTCCTGTCTCTGTGAGCAGCTGCTCAGTTAGATGTTGAACTCGTCCTTCTCTATTTCTCTGTTCTCTCCTCTTGCGCCCCCCCACCACCCCTGCCCAGGCACTGCATCACCGGGCTTGGGTTTGGCCAGGGCCAGGGCCAGGGCCAGGGCCAGTACCTCATCCCGGAGGAGGACGACGAGAGCGCCCTGTCCCCGGAGACCTGCTACGAGTGCAAGATCAACGGCAACTACGACAAGGGCGCGCGGCACAAGCGCAGCACTGGGGACAACACGCTGCAGCAGGTACAGTACCCCTCTCCTGGGCCCAGGACACGTGGGCACTGGGTATGAAAAACTGAGCATTGCAATCTGGCATATCAGTGCCAGTCTGCTTAGGCCAGTGACAACAAGTCTTCTAATGCCTTCTTTGCCATCTTTGTTAGTGCTTCTCAGAAGCTTGCACTTAAAAATACACAGCTTCAGTTCTAAATCTCCTCAGAACTGTACAATCCACTTTACAGTCTCGGCATTCGCAATGGGATTTCTGGATCAGGGGTTAGGGTTGTTCATGGCCAAATGCCATTAATAGCAGGTTACTATAGAGTGGACTGTAGTATCATAAATGTAACCAAATTCACATTTAGCAAAGTCCTGATTTATTTCAACTGACTCCTGCCACCTTGTCGTTGGCCTTGCCTTCCCAGGAGTCCCGTGTGAGCCTGGCCAGTGTGGACACCCAGGCCGCCATTCCCATGAACCTGAGCCTGGCCATGCTGCAGAACAAGGAGCCCATCCTGGAGCTGCTGCCCGCCATCGAGCCTCTGGAGCACCACGTGCGCTACGTCATCACCCACGGCAACCAGAACGGCCACTTCCGCATCCTGGAGCGCCGCGACGGGAAGAGCGTTCTGCGCCTGGGGCGCAAGGCCCCCGCTCCCGGGTCCTACCGCCTGGAGATTGCCAGCCTGCCCATCTTCGGCCCGCGCCGGCTACGCCAGCTGGAGGACGAGCACGACGCCAATTACCTCCTGGGGGAGATTGGGGACGCGCTGCGGATCAAACTGCACATCCACCTTCACTAAAGAGCCCTCCCCTGCCCCCGTTCCCCGGCCAGCTCCCTTTCTCCCCCTGCCCCGCCTCTCCCCTGCTCATCCAGGCCTCTCTTTGAAAGGAAAAGCTGAAACGTTCAGGAGCCACCTTTTGCCTCGGCGTCCCAGCGAAGAGGTTTGTGAGAAGACGCGCGCCGTTCGGGCCGCGTTTCCTCGGCAGTGCCTGGAGCCTGCGCGCACGGCAGGCTGGGGCAGTAGCGCCGGTGCTTCTCCGAGGCCCATTCCAGCGCCCTCAGCCCCTGCTCTGCGTGCCAAGATGGAAGTCTGGGAGCACGGGGGAGCTCCGGAGGCAGAACTGCAGGGTCTGGGAGAACTACAGTAAGTCCAGTCCTTGATGCTGACAGGCCAGCAGCATTGCTAGGTCTCCTTTAATCAGCAGCAGCACAAGGCCGATTGGCTACAGGCTTTAACTGAACCAATCAAACCCCCCTGCACAGGTCTGCTGCCACCTCAGAGCAGGCATGTCGAACCCGGTTCCTGCAGGGCCCGCTATCTTCTGATTTTTATTCCTCTAGAGCTCTCAGTTACAGAGCTGGCCTAATTAATTAACACTTAACCAGGCCCGAAGGTGTTTCATAGGTAACAGTTTTATCACTGCAATGAGTAGAATGAAGTGAGTAGTATAATTATACAGTATATATAGTCATGATAATACATCAATAATTATCAGTAAAAGACCTTGAGAAAACTCCCTTTATTTTTTAGGAAATTATTTGGTTTATTTTTTTTAAATTGAACACTCAGAAAGCAGAAGACACCAGGCCCTCCAGCAATCGAGGCTGAAACCTCTGTAAATGAGACCTACAACCCTAATGGTCTTTTGCTTTCCACATCAGGACTTGGAGCCCTGAGCTACAGCCTCACGAGAATTGCAGTCTTATTGTTGCCAAACCCTTTCTTTGTACAATGTAGGGCTTGCGTCTCTCCCTTTGTGTTCCAGAAGAGGACTGGGCAAATTCTCCATCCTGCAGAAAAGAGCCCCAGAGAACCCCTGTCAGTTTGTACTGTATATAATGCAATTTTGGTGAGTAGTAGAAAAACTCCCACAGCTTGTTTTAACTCTTTCCAACACCTGGATCTGGTCCATCTTTTAACTCTGTCTAATGTGTAGGATGGTACACTTCTTGTCTTCCATCTTTCCCTCTGATGCTGGGGAAATAGTAGGGATGCTAGGAGCAGGCTGGTGAAGACGATGAGGTGCCAGATTGGGGAAAGTAAAAGGCCACGAGTTTGAGTACCTCGATCCACCCGCTAACCCAGACAGCTGTGGTGCAGACTGTTGCCCACTTTCTAACACTGTCCCGGCGCTGGGGGGGAGGGAGGGGGGGCGTCCAAACTGTGTGAAGGGTCTAGGTTCCTCTGCTGCCAGCAGTATTCTTTGTAATCGTAAATGTATCATATTGTTAAAAAAAAATTGCTCACATGAAGGACTGCAACACTCAAGCAACCTTTCAGATCTTAAGAAAAATGAAGGTACTGCGCTCAGACATGACATAACTGGCTACTAGGCTACTACTGTTGCAATCATCTCTCAATGGAGTGGGAGTTTCGGTGCACCAATGTGTTTGTGTAGGTCACAGCATGCCTCTACCTCACCCCCCCCCCCAGTAACTGTACATCTGCAACTGTTCCAATCACACGATGCCTGACTGAACCAGAAACCTGTCATGCTACTTGTTTGCAGCAGAGGGAGCTATTGGGTTAGGTGACTGGTGCGGAACTGGAATTTGGAATTAAGACCATTTACTTGTTTACACAAAAGTAGACCTCTTTCACAACTGGAGGAGGTACAATTTGAGCATGTAGCTGCATGCTTGTCACAGTTTACAATAAACGCAACTTTAAGGAGAAAAAAATGTGGGACAAAGATGACCACAGGGCCTAAGGTGCTTTACAAGGATGTTTCATCTTAATGCATCCTACTAGGTTCTTGATCCTTTGACAGGTCTTAGGGCATAGACAACCAAATAAAGCTGATATGATGGCTTCCTATTTCGGTGATTCATCACCCAGTCAAAGGACAGATTGCTATTGACAGGTTGTACACTGTTAATGCATCATTTTTTGTATACACAATACTCATGTACAAATGAAAGATGCATGCAAACACAAAGAAATCGTGCACTAAAACTCACAGCTTCGTTAAGAACACAATGTATCAGGTCTTTTACTTTTTTTATACAATGGTGCTAAACAAATCCAAAATCCATACTGTACTAGAAGTGATACCGCAGTCTCTGGGAATCTCAATTGCAGAAGAAGAAGAGGAACTTTTTTTTATAGTAGGTACATTTTGAATATTTTTGTTTTGTGTACTGTTTCAATGCTGAAAAACCCAATAACCTTAAACTCGCTTTTTTTGAAAAAATTGTATATTTTTAAGTGAAATGTAGATTTTGTTTTATTATTATTTTTAAGGAGCATCAAAGGCTGTCAAACCAAATGGGATTGAAAACCTTATGTGCTGATCCAAAGAGTTTGTTCTGCTCAGTTACAGCATTAGGGCATTGATAAAGGAACAAGCCTTAGTAGCGTACCCTGCCCTCCCTGGGACTGGTTTTGATCACTGCTGCTCTGCAGTCTAACCCATATAAATATCAGCATGTAGCCCTTGTGCTCTCTCTCCTCGCTGTCTTTACATCTTCATACTGTCTGATAATGGAGGGAAGGGGGGGTTATATGTTGGAGAATGTAAAAATTCCCAGGATCCAAAGAGAGCCTGGCCCATGCTACAGAAATGGCTAATAAAAAAAACTGGTGGGGGTTAGTCTGCCAACTGGAAAAACCTATCCTTCAAATGCAGAGCTAGGAGACTTCAGAGGCAACCAAAAACCTGCAATAAAGCACAAACAGTGTCTAAAGAGCAACACAAACTGTCCTCAGTACTAAGGACCTTCAGTCACCTACCTTTTAAAAAAAAAAAATCTTCTGGTGCTAAATACCCTACAGTGGTTCTGCTATCTAACCATTAGTGGATCCTACACTGTTACCAGCCTTCAGCTATATTTATGCATAACCGTTTATTTTCAGCTCTTCTAACATGTGAACGTGTATACTTTGTATCTCTTTTTGTCCTTTTGTTTTACTTGCCACTACATTGTAAAAGTAAGAATGTGTGTGTACTGTATCTCCGCTTTGGTTTCAGACTTGAAAAACACGGTTACCAGTCAGTCTGGATTTTGTTTTATTTTGTGGAAAAACAGGCAAATCATCAAAGGTGCTGTGAGGAAGCACTGCCATTAACCCCTCAGGCCCTGGATTCTGATAAGCGGTTATACAATAATTACCTGTTGAGGCAAACCAGTTGTAAATGGGGGGTTTAATTCAGCTTGCTTCCTTAATACTCACTTAATGTTTTTGCATTGTACTGGGAAAAAAAAAAGATTGTTTGCTTAAGGTTTGGGCACATATATCTGAAAACTGTAATTTTCAGATTTGTTTTTCCACTGTTGTCTCAAACATTCATGCTAATAAAAAATATTGTGGGTTATATTTTTAAAATCATGGGCCAGTTTTCTCTTTTTGTTTTATCAAGAACAAAATAGTGGCAGAAAGCAAAGCGTCTGCGACGTTGGTTCAAAGTGTCAAACCTGAGTAGCTCTAGGAAGATCCCTGCTGCCACGCAGGCTTGGGAAAGGGCTGAAACAAGTTACCCCTTTCCTGCTCTCTCTGCCCAAATTATTTTCCTACTTATTTTCTTAAGGTCTTTCACACTATTACTTGAAGATTCAGTATGTGTAAATATACTTACAAAACACCACTGAGCCTGGATAGACGTATTACTGTTAATGCAGGTAATTGCCAATTAGACAGATTATGTTGTGGGGAACAAAAAAAAACACCAGGCCCTGCACATTTGACTCAAAACTCCTGCAACAGGAGGCCAACTCAAGACATTAGCTTATAAATCCTGATCTTTGGGTTCCATATACCTGTTTTTGTATTTGTTTCATATGGAAAAATAATCTAAAACTGCGGAGGCGACATAAACCTTGTAAATATTCCAAAAGGGCATTGTGTTCTTTCAATGAATGCTTCAGGCAGTCAACCTCAGATTGAATCAGAAAACAGCAAA